TTTGAAGTTGACAAATTGGTCCTAAAACCACTCGTTGTGACAGCTCATTAGTTATGCTCTTTTACTCATCTGAACTGTTTCCATTCACAATTGTTAGCCTCTGTTTGATTTCTATGTCAATTCGCCCACCACTCAAAGCTACTCATACCCTCAACACTACTGATTGACCTTCTATTTTGTGGTTCTGCACTAAAGCTCTTCTAAAAACTCACATCAATAATACTTATGGTTCTGTCCCATCAGCACTTTTTCTTATTACATCTACAAAGCCTATATTTTTTTTAACCATCTTCTATCTCCAAAACTGCAGTGTTTCTCCTTTAAAAACTGTAACAAGTCTGTTCATATCTGTTAACTAAATAGCAGGAAACAAGCCTCCTAAGGGACTACTTCACAATTTATTTTTGTTTCTCTTCCTGTGCTTTTTTAAATTTTTTTCTTAATATATGTTATAACTATTATATTTGGTTAGTGCAGAGAGTTGCTGTCTTTCAGATAAAGTATTAGAAAAAGATTGATTTAAACTGCACTTGCAGAAAGGATGTTGAGGGGCTTGTGGAGAACATGAGTTTCCTGGTTTATAATAAACTTTTAAAACCCCAATCTTGCACATACTTATGCATCTGCTTAACTTTATTCATGAGTGGTTCATTTTCTTCTGTGTAAAGTTAAGCATGTGCGTAAGCATTTGAAGTATTGATTAATTTGAGACTGAGCCTTTATCTGTCAGAAGATATCAACTTTAATCATTTTCTGGTATCTATTTTGCAGAATAATTCTATTCTTCCAGGATGAGGTTGAGTGATTTTCTGTGTGTGTCTCCCCCCCATCGTGGGTTGCTTTTTATAGACAGCTCAAGATGTTTTTGTTTCAAAGCTTAGATTAGTAAAGATAAATGCATTTATTTATATCAGTTTGCACAGTGACTTTATGCCAGTATGTTGGGGTGGTTTATTTTGGCGGTGTTAACAACCCTTACCAGATTGGGGATGAGCTGTTTAAAGATTTAAAGGAAAATTTGATGGTGGTACATCTTAATGACAGGGGGAAAAGAGGGGTGGGAGTTGGAAGGAAAGTATTCCCCTGAGTGCTCTGTCCTCACGTTAGTATGATTCTTTTTGGTTCTGTATTCATAGACTGAAATGGTTCTTTTTAAATCTCTGTTTAAAACACACACACACACACACACACACACACACACACACACACACACACACACACACACACACGAATGATTGTAGTTCTTAAAAAGGGTCCTGAGAGAACCCTAGAAAAGTTGCCTTTTTGTTTCCCTTCAGGAGAAAAGTTCTAAAAAGCTTTTCAGTCCATATGGAAAAAGAACTTCTATTTTCCTCCAAAAAAGAAGTTGTATCAAATGACAGGGGGAAACGAGGGGGGGGAGTTGGAAGGAAAGTATTCCCCTGAGTGCTCTGTCCTCACGTTAGTATGATTCTTTTTGGTTCTGTATTCATAGACTGAAATGGTTCTTTTTAAATCTCTGTTTAAAACACACACACACACACACACACACACACACACACACGAATGATTGTAGTTCTTAAAAAGGGTCCTGAGAGAACCCTAGAAAAGTTGCCTTTTTGTTTCCCTTCAGGAGAAAAGTTCTAAAAAGCTTTTCAGTCCATATGGAAAAAGAACTTCTATTTTCCTCCAAAAAAGAAGTTGTATCAAATATATTTATATACGTGTCAAATGTAGCCTAGTCACAGGAGGTACTGAAACTGGCAGAGCAAAATGTTGCAGAAGGAAGTTGAAAACAGAAAGAATGCTGAACTCAGCCACAAAAAATATTTTTCCCCATCACTTTTGAAAGAGCGAGCCCAGATATTAGCAGTTACAAATCAGAGTGCATAAAGAGGTGGCATAGAATCAACCCCTTGACATTGTTACTTGGTTGTTTGAACATGTCTTCCAATTTGTTATTTTATATTTGTAGTATATGTGAGTTTAACATATATTTTTGTTAAACATGCTGGCCAAGTTTTGTTCTGTGTTGCACTGAGGTCAGGAGCATTGCAGAAGTATGACGGGGAAAGAATTTAGCCCATTACCTTGAAAGTACCTTCTAGTATGTAGATTCCTTGGGCTAGATCCTAGTGAAAGCTGCACCCATTAGACCAGGTATAAATCCTCTACTACTTTCTGACAGCATGTGTATGAGGGAGAGGAAGGAATGACATTTGCATATCATGTATATTGTAGGGAATGAACTACTTGGAAGAACGTCGCTTGGTGCATCGTGACCTGGCTGCCAGAAATGTCCTTGTTAAAACTCCTCAACATGTGAAGATCACTGATTTTGGATTGGCAAAACTACTTGGTGCTGATGAGAAAGAGTACCATGCAGAAGGAGGCAAAGTAAGAAGGATCAGAGGACCATCTGTTATGTGCTTACTAGCTGCTGAAGTTGTACTTGTGTATAAATCTTGATTTGAAAAATGAGAGGAGCAACGTGTGGTATTTTCAAAAGTGCTCCCTTGGAAACTGGTGAGAGTCCACTAACTTTTTAATGGAAAGAGAATGGTAGTCCAATGATGAACACTTGAAAATACCACCCATTATGTCTGGGAAAAGGCAAGATTAGTTTTGAAAAACATAAACCCTGTCTGAATTCTGTAGTGTAGCCAACACCAGTAATGAGGTATAGTTTATGAACAGAATGGGAATACTATATATTTATATCTGAAGAAAGGCCTCTCTTCAACACGTCTTTATGGTGGAGAAGCTGCTTGTGAATGTTATGGAGACCATAAATGGAAACCATATGAGTTCAGAGTGAACTTCATTGTACTGCCTGGGAGTGAATTTGTATCCTGTTGCGGTATAAGAAGTTGTTGTTTTGTTTTGTTTTTTAAAGCATAAAAATTCCTCTAAGAATTTTTTTTAAATTAAATCATTAGAAATATTCCTGTTAAGCAAAATACTATGTGAGGTCTCAGGCTCTGAGTGAACCACCAAAATGATGATGATAACTCCCTGAGAATCACAGGCTGCTTACCATATATCTGAGATTTTCAGCCTACAACCAAATTGTTGGTATGAAAAATTCACTGTGATTTGTAGTAGAATTACTTCTAGATTCGGGATAGAGACCTATAGCTTAATTGTAAATCTTTCTAGGTTCCGATTAAATGGATGGCCTTGGAGTCAATTTTACACCGCATTTATACCCATCAAAGTGATGTCTGGAGTTATGGTGAGTCAAAAAACATGGCTGCAATGAATTTAAAGGTGTGAGAAAATGTGTAGGTTTTGTTAATGACATTATGCAAACTATCACTTTTTTTTCCTTTCTTTCCACTCTCTTCAGTATCAAAATGATGGAAAATTTGAATGGGCCAAATCTTAACTGCTTAATTGGGTGGTGCATATGGTTATCTGTCAATATGATTATCACTTCTCTAAGAAAAACGCAATCAAGCAGTGGGTTCTTTTTTGGTCAGGAGGGTGGCAGCTGCACTTTGGTGAAGGGCAGATTTAGCATTAAGAAATAACTAAGCCACCTAATAATGTAACAACAAAGAATGAGAAATTCAAATATTGTCACCTAGCTATACACACATCAACATCAGCTCGTGGTCTCACCTGGAACACCTAGAAATCATTGCCTTCCTGAGTTTCATGAAAAAGCAAGTGGCACCAAACTTTTGTGCACAATATTTTATATGGAATAAGTAGACTAATGGCCTTTGAACTTAAGCATCTAGAAACCTCAGCTGGAATTGGCTGGATAAGGGCTTAATAGCCAGGTAGATAGGTTGAATTTAGGGTTTGAATGCCCTTTAATATGTAGGCCTATAGGTATTTTTGAATTTTGGTTCAAAAGGAGGCAATGAAATCCAGTCTTTTACAACCACAGCAAATCAAATTCTTAAACACCATTCTCCCTTTATGTAGGAAGATACAGTACCTGCTTTTAATGGAGATCATATCTGATAATTCAGCGTATATAGTATACTTCCGGGCATTGGCCAACCTCTAATGAAGAGCAGCTAGGAAGAATCTTGTCTTGGAGGCAGCTCTTTCTTTAGATGACATTCTAGGGTATCCTGAACCTTTTTGGGAAGCATTTAGCATGGACCACTCTGGGAAGATGGAAACATTTAGAAGGACTCCAGGACTTACCGTTTGTGGCCTTTTTTCTGTCCTTATTAACTCATTTACACACATTTTCTTCCCACTCCAAATTCTGCTTCAGGTCCCAATCAAATGACCCACAGCTGGAAAAAAAAATCAGGGACTAATTGATGTGCTAGAGTAAAATATTTGGAAGTAGTTAATTTAGTATATTTTCAAACAAAAGGCAATTTTGTTTTGTTTCCGAAGAGATTATTTGATGCAAAACCTTAAATTGTTATTTAGCATTTTTTGTCAAAATGAATCACTTGAAAATAGCGATATCTATGAGAGAGAACATTCCCAATCTCTCAGAACTGATGATAAATGGATAATCCATGAGTGCCCCTTTAGAGAACCTCGCCAACTCTCAAGATGAATGCCTCCATTCTCCCATTCTGTTCCTACACCAGATAAATGAGTTCCACTCTGGGAACATCATGATTTCTAGCTGACCTGATGTGCTTTTATCACTGCCCTTTCTTCTGCCCTACAGGTGTCACAGTCTGGGAATTAATGACATTTGGATCAAAGCCTTACGATGGGATTCCAGCCAGTGAAATTTCATCCATCTTGGAGAAAGGCGAGCGTTTGCCTCAGCCTCCAATCTGTACCATTGATGTGTATATGATCATGGTCAAGTGTGAGTTCAGTTCTTATACATGCATATGTATAACCCATAGGAATAAGAAAGAAGGTGGTTACAGTTTATATGTTTGCAGAATGCTTTGTTCATGTGGCTCACCTGAAAGTATAGGTTTGCATTGTAGGAAAAGAATGGTGTCCCTGTAGTATGTTCAGCTATCACATGCTACCTATTATGTTACACAGCTGCTATCATAGCTGCTACAATGCAACTCCATGATTCTGTAGCAATATCAATATAGCAGAACTACTGCAAGTTTCATCATGCTTCATCCTGGGTCAAAAATAGGGTGATTTAGCTAACCTGTGTTGCTGCAGGCTCCTGCAACTCTCACACCACCACTTTGACAGATGAAATGTATGTTTACCCATATATTGACGTTGTTTCCACACCTGAGTTGCAGAGTATGTTTGAGGACGTTCACAAGCTGCCCACTAGATGGCATTTAAACACTTCAATAATCAAGCAAAATGCACAAATTCCTGAGAGTGACTAGTTTTTTTCTTTGAATTAAAGTTTACAGCTTAGTTGGTTAGAGCATGGTGCTAATAACACCAAGGTTGCAGATTTAATCCCCAGTTGGACTAGATGATCTCTTGAGGTCCCTTCCAGCCTACTCCTCTGTGATCTTTGATCTATAATCTAATGTTATGACTCATCCACAAAGGAGCAGCCTGCTCAAATGAGCATCTGATTTATCTAATAGAGAAACTAAAATTACTGGCTAATCTTATAGCCTCCCCTAATGCATGACAATAAAACATTTCTATAAATGCCATGCAGAAAAAGCCCTGACAGTGATATCTTAATCCCAGGATTTCAAATTATGCTAGTTCTACAAAAATTAAATTTAGTAAAGATAATCCAGGTGAATAAAAATAAAAATTTCAAACACAATTTTTGAAGTAAGTTATCAGCCAAGTAAAATTAATGTTTTTAATGAAATCTAGACATACCAAAGGATTCAACTCTGTTCCCATCGAAAGCAACTAATAGCCAAGCTGTTCTCTTTTAAAACCCAAGCTCAATGTTACCTTATCCTGGAAGCACCTAAAATCTATAAGCACCTTATCAACGCTAAAATTCCCCGTGCTTCTCATTCTACTTCTGTGTATACCCTCCTTAGTCTTAACTAGGTTGAGCAGATGGTCATTTTGTCTCATGCCTAGTATTTGAATCCAAGTACAACCAGGCCTTCTCTGTCTGTCTGTCTCACCTGAGTGAAACAGTGTAGAAGGCATTTTCAGGACATGCCTTATGGACCAATCTCCTCAGAAAGTGCTGCGGCAACCTCCTTTTCCTTTAAAACATGGTGGTGGTATTCATCCCAAAGTAACTCAAAGAAAGTTCAAGTCCTTCCTTTGCCAGAAGGGTTTCTGACTTGCATCTTCACCTTTCTGGGGGAAGTGCCCTAATCACAATGGCATGAATGACTGGTGCCTCCTGAGACTGGGTGTGGGGGGCGTCATGGCGGCGAGCAAGGGCCAACCACAGATGCTGGCAACGGTACAAGCGGCAGTGAGCAGGGACCACCCTCAGATGCGGTGGGGGGGAGGTGCTGATGAGCGACGGCGGAATCAGAGACGAGTTGGGGGTGAGCAGCGACTGCCTGCGGAAGCCAGCATCGGCCAGTCTCAATGGGGGCACATGCTCCCCCACGCGTTGCCTATACACAATGGTATATGCTGTTTGGGAGACAGGCACCCTCCAATTGAAGCTATGCCACTTTGCCTAAAATAAAATTTGTTGAGTCGGAGGGAGAACAAGAGGGAATGTGGCTATCTAGCTTAGTGGCTGGGGCACACACCTGTAAGAGAAGGGAGTTGCGAGTTCCAGTCCCTGCTCAGAAAGTGTTTCTGTATTTTTATCCTATGACTGCTTTACGTAAAATACATCACTACTCCTTGGAATTGGTAACCTGCTCCCTCCCCTGCTTGCCGGATTTTGTGGATGCTGTTTGGAAGTGCATGGCCCTTGTTTAGAGAGCATAAGCAACTTTTCACTCCAAAATGATGTTTTGTTCAGAAATTCAGCTTTTTTTTAATTTTAGAAAAAGGTTAAAGGGATCCCCAAAATGATTTTTTTTAACACATGTAATAAAATTGTTTTATTGGACCAAAACAAGATATTTTTGGTGTTTTGTTTCAGCTAGAGAGAAAATATTTTCAGGCTGTGAACTAAAAACACTTTTCAGTTTGGCCAGCAAAGCGAGAAATCAGTTTCCATGCAGCTTTGCTCCTACAGCCCTGTCCAGAGCATTTGCATGAGATTTGCACTTCTATAAATCAGAGCAGAATTGAGCCGATAGTGAGGAAGGGAGGAACCTGCCTGACCTTCATTGTGGATCTGAAATTGAAATAGCCTCCATGGTTCCCAGTGTGTGGGGTGAGAAGCACTGGGGATTTGCCTGGCATTGGATTCCCTGCCTGTCTCCAGTCACCTCTACACCATTCCCTTTTCTGACCTGCTAGCTGCTTTGGGCTCTCCTCTTTATTACTTTGGTGTAGGGGGCTAGATTTCCCTCTAATCAATGTTTATGGAGTCTCTGAATCCAGTGGTGTGTTAGCAAGCCTACACACTTGAGACAAATTTTGGACTCGGTGGCTCTCAGAGATGTTCTTGGCTCTTAAAGAGAGCAAAGTTAAAGGAGGTTTCTCCCAGCAGGTCAAAGCTATGCAAGCAATCTTTCTACAATATCTGTTAGTTATTTGGTTTTAAGGGATGAGTTGGGGGGTGTTGTTCAGAAATGCCAGGAACAAAGTGGGGAAAAAAAGGCTTATGTAAATCAACTCCCTCATTGTCATGGCTTGATGAAAGTTCTTCCCAGGTCACAGACACCATACAGTTCCTTGCCCATTTAAAATTCTCCCCCGTTTTGGTTTCTGAGGTAATGTTATTTGTGTGTTGTTTTCCATGTCATCCTTTTAGGCTGGATGATTGATGCCGACAGCCGCCCCAAGTTTCGGGAGCTGATTGCCGAGTTCTCCAAAATGGCTCGAGACCCCCAGCGTTATCTTGTTATACAGGTATTGATTACACATAGAACAGACTTTCTTTTCCAAAGGAACCAGGATCTCTAACAGCCAGTTAGAAGGACATTCATGTGTAATAACAGGAAATGTAAAATAATAATAATACATGGGGTGCTTGGAGATAAACATATCGAAAATCCTCTGATTCCTTGACCAAATATAAAAAGAAGCCAGACCAAGTGAACTCAGCAATCTGCGTTCGTGATAGTCTTTTGCATAAAGAAACCTGCAACACCATATTGATTTGTTCTGCCTACTTGTCTAATCTGTTTCCAAGATATTGCAATAAAATCTTCAGTTTATTAGTATTCACTTAAAAGAACAGAGTAAATATGGTGGTGATGGGAAAGAATCTAATAATGTCCAAGTGTTCCATCTTCCTTAGAATCAGCAGAATTAGACCTATTAAACCATTTAGTCCAGTGGCGCTCAGGCTTTCAACCCGATGGGCTAGTTAAGTGGCATGGGGCCAGTTTGCGGGTCAGATTGGACCCTGCACGCTAGGATCGGGTGCACAGGGCAGCATGGAGCCCCAGAAACCAACCTGCGTGGAGCTCCACAGACTGGATGACAGTGGTGCTAGGGACCAGATCTGGCCCAGAGCTGGGGGTTGAGCAACCCTGATTTAGCCCATTCTTCTGTCAGTGCAGTGTTGCTCTGTGCTATATGTTTGTTGATGTTGATGTTCAAAGAGAAACTGCTTCAGACAACATCAGCAGTCACAGTAGAGACCTCAAATAGTCTCTGCACTTGGTGTAAGACAAAAAAAAACCCAGAGCAGACTTCTTAGCATGTTCTGTGGAATTACTAACAAATTTCACAAAATTTGTTATTTGCTAACATAACAACAAGATTGAAAAATGCACTGTGAGGTGCTTTGCTCACAACCATACTTTAAGTTGTGATTTACTGGAACTCGTCAGAACTAGAAATACTTACCTGCATCTGTGTTTTCAGAACTAATCATTTTTTCCCAAGAATATATTCCTGTCCAAGATTATGATGATCCATGTTGCAATCCTGAGAAGAGGGTAGATTTTGAAGGTTTTTTAACATAGGTATTCTAGACCAAAAACTTAAGGTCCAAACTCCCTGAATAATCTAGCTCAGTGGCACCAACCAGTGGATCTCGATCCACCGGTAGATCTCGGAGCCTCTTGGAGTAGATCCGAGGCTGGGGTCAGGGGCTGAGTGCTCGTGTGCATGCGCACGCCCCAGCTTAGCGGGTCAGTGCGTGGGGGAGGGAAGGGACAGAGGCTAGATCAAGGCCCCTGTGGTGAGGGACAGTGCCGCAGAGGCAGGAGCAGGGGTAAATTGAATGGAGCCCCAGCCAGGTGGGAATCACTCGCTGGGGAGGCGCACCCCCAAATAATTTTGTCTCCCTCTGCCTCGATCTTCCCCACCTTCCCTCCCCCACAGACTTAACAGGGGCAGGTGGTGGCGGCTCACAGTAGATCTTGGGTTGCTTTTAAATGCCAAAGGTGATTTCCTACTTTAAAAAATTGGAGACCACTGATATAGATAAATCTGGATAAACAGGTGCCAGTTTTGCAGCATCTTCTAAGAGCATGCTTTTTTACCAAGGGGTAGGGAAGGGGAGGGGGCTGTTCAGTTATGGGACAACTTTATAAAGGTGTCCAGGATACTACTCGCACTCTGGTTTATTTGACAGGGAGATGAAAGAATGCACTTGCCAAGTCCTACAGATTCGAAGTTTTATCGCACCTTGATGGAAGAGGAGGACATGGAAGATGTTGTTGATGCAGATGAGTACCTCATTCCACAGCAGGGATTCTTCAACAGCCCTTCAATATCCCGGGCTCCCCTCTTGAGCTCATTGGTACGAAACATCTTGTCTATGCACATAAACCAAACATTTTAGAATTAGTATTGCCCAAATGGTAAAATAGTTTTCTCTCTCAAAATAATTTTCTTTCCTTCTTATTTCTAGAGTGCCACCAGCAACAATTCAACCACAACCTGCATTGATAGAAATGGGGTAAGTGTGAGCAGCTAGTTTGGGGGGTCCTTCCCCTCTTCTGTATCCAGGCCCCTTCAGATCAACCCTTGTGAAATAATATCCATTCAATTTTTGTTTTCTTTTCACATACTTCTTAACTAGCAAGGGCATCCAGTGAGGGAAGACAGCTTTGTCCAGCGGTACAGTTCAGACCCAACTGGTGTTTTCTTGGACAAGAGCATAGATGATGGCTTCCTGGCTGCCCCTGGTGAGTACATCTGTTGGGCTTTGTATCCTCGGGTTTTATTTATTGGCAAGCAACGTAATTCACAAGGAGGTCATCTGCCTCTCTTTCAGATCTTTGTGGATCCTTGATGATCTATTGCTTATCTTTTCTTCTGACAGCAAGAGAAGTGTTATTCAGCATCCTTAAGAATCCCCACTTTTTCCACTTTTTTCCTTGACCTTTTCTCATAGCTTCTGACCATTTACCTAATGATTCCACCAATCTGATTACTATTTCTTATTCTAGGTGTGCTCTGTGTGTGCACGTGATATGATTTTCTACTAATCATGTATTTCAGAAAACCTTCCAAGAACCCTTTTTTCCATTCCTAACTGTTTTTATTGTAGGAACTTTGCATAGATGGTAATTCTGCCAATTTCAAAGCAGAAATCAGTGCAAGCAGAACCAATGGGACAATGGAATAGAGTAAGGTTATGAATGCAGTTTCATATGTACTTATATAATTGGCAGGAATCTGAAATGGTTGACTTTAAAAGAGCAGTATAGTGTCGCATGTTGATCCTTTAGTAGAAGTATATATTTTCATTGCAAAACCTGTTTGAAAGCAGGTGCTTCCAACAAAACTTCCCGGCTAAAATATCAGAACAATACCAAGGACCAAGCCATACATACATCACCATAATCAGCAGCTAAATCCCTGAAGTTATTCTCACGTTTCAATCTCCAAGCCCTTGGCTAGTGCTGTTTAATGGAACTTCCTGCGTTTGGCGCTATTTTGGAATCTTGATGAAAATCTAGAGGGACTTTGTAGGCTGTTGCCTAAAACGATTATGCCTTGACATGATTAAAACTATATGTCAAGCCATTGGAATGACTTTATTATTTATATGTCTTCATTTTCTTCCTCTCTCTTTTCATTTCAGAATATGTAAATCAGTCGATCCCCCCAAAACCACCTGCCTCTCTGGTACAGAATCCAATCTACAACAATTTCTTGCTCCCAGCAGATTCAAAGCCCTCTACAGACTCAAGATGTCAGAATTCCCACAGCACAGCAGTGGACAACCCAGAATATCTCAACACAAACCAGTCTCCTTTTGCCAAAACGATTTTTGAGAGCTCCCCTTATTGGGACCAAACTGCCAATCACCAAATAAATCTGGACAACCCTGACTACCAGCAGGACTTTTTACCTAAGGAAACAAAGCCTAATGGCCTGTTTAAAGTTCCTGCAGCAGAAAATCCTGAATACTTAAGGGTAGCAGCACAAAAAAGTGAATATATTGAAGCCTCAGCATGACCACAGAGAATCCCATCTTGCAGTAATAAGAATGGAAATCCAGGTGAATACTCTGACTGCTGCAAGATATTAACAGGTAGAACAGTATCCACAATGCATGCTTTTTCCTTTCAAGCATGTGGGCTGAATTCACCAAGCTCATTTTACAGCATAAGGTGGGCCTTTTCTTGCCCATTTCCATACGTAACTTAGGCACATACCATCCACTTGTATGCATGTTGGGATAAAGCAAAGACTTATGCAAATAAGAAATTGCAGGTACATTCCTTTTGTTTTCAAATGGTAGCATTATAAAAAGCCATTTGGGGATGAATTTTAAGAGCTGTCCTCATTGTAAAGTTGAATTCCTTTCTACAGTGCACATTTTTTGTAAACTTTTCTATCAGGAGTTTTTTGGATCTCTGAGAAGATCATAAGCTTATACTGTTGGACTGTTGTGTGACCTTCAGATAGCCAGAAAAAGAAAAGAGCAAGACATTATTTAATATGGTAAGAAGAGTTTTGCAAAACTTTTGGAACATAAATAGTTGTTCCAAGTCATTGCACCTTGGATATTGGCTCCATTTCCTGCTTCTTCATACAACCAGGGAGAAGAAAACATCGGGGAGAACTGGGGAGATTCTGCTCAGTAAGGTGTTTTTTAATGGAACAGGTTGGATGGCAGCCCACATTCCCTACTGACCACTACTGTTGAAAACCAACAGGGAGAACTCAGCACATAGAAGAGTTGCTTATTAAGTACTTGCTAGGTTATTGTCTGTAAGGTGAATACCATGCTTTCAGTCTGTTCCATTGTTTAGCTCTAGACTTGTCAAACATTACACTTTTTATAAATGGTACTTTTAAAGATGTTGCTGAAACTGAAAAATGAAGAACCAAATTCCCTTCGACTCAACCTTTATTGGGCAAACTTGCTAAATGTCAAGGAAATGCAAAAAGTTTATAAGTGGAATCATCAGCAAGACAGCAAGTGATTAGAATACAAATGGGCAAAATTTAAACTTGGCATGGACAAAAATGCAAAAAATTTTTGCCCAGGAAATAAGTTGTTTTTTTTTTTTTAAGTAGCTCAAACAATGAATCCTTTTCTTGTAAAAATAAATGGGTAAAGAAAGGATTTAAAAATGCGCAAGCATTATTATTTAATTATGTAGTTATTAAATTGTTTATTATTATTATTATTATTATTATTATTATTAAAAAATAACCCCATTGCAGAGGAAAGCCAATAGCTGAGGCACAACAGGGGAACAGCTTGTCACTTAGTTATCTACCATGTTAAGCTCTCCCTGTCCTGGGAATGGAAGGAATCAGAGAAACAACAAGAATATAACTCAAAACATTTGATCTATTTGACTCTTCTGTAATGTAAGGCTAGAGAAAATTCTAAAGGAGTCTGTCTCCTTTGATAATCCCAGCACAAATATCTAATGGTCACAGTGGAATAGTCAGTCATTCCAGGTAAATATTTGTCTTGATAAGAAAAATATACCTTATATTGATTTTGTATATAAAACTTACTATACCAGAAGCTACCAAGATTACCAGAAGCTTCTTTTATTGTGAATAGGCTGGGAGGGAGAACTACTTCCAGAACTACTGGAAACTTGTCAGTACTTTTTGTTAATGTTTTTCCGTATCTTCTTTGAAAGGAGTAGGGAAAAATAATACTTAAAGCACTGATTCCAAGAATAATAGTAATATGGAGACATCTCCCACCTTATTTGGAAAACACTACAACCCACTGCAATACTGTTGATCTATAAAACTGTAGGAAACTGTCAAATTATACCATGAATATAAAATGAATTGTCCTATTTTGCAGAATACTGAAGTATAGCTTCGCACTGATAACCTGCACAGATGCAGTAAAATGTCAGTAACAATCCAGAATCTGGTACAAGAAAGGAAATATGGTTGAAATTCATGTGTTGTCCTATCCTTAGGTATATCCCTCTCACAATGACTGAATCCCAATCAGAGCCTTACAGGGAATGCAATGTCTCACTTTGATTCTTTAATGCTTATTTAAAGCATTAAATAAAATTCTGCTCTCCAATACAAATTTACACTTGTATATCTGAGAACAAAATTCAGTGAATTGTGTTGTGAAAATGCAATAGATGCATGTGTCGAGACATCTTCTTTTTTCATTAACAGTCTCATATGGTAAGGATAGACATGCATGAAAGATTGTAACAGAAGCCATAAACAGTTAATTAGTATGCTAAATCTATTGCATCTCCCAGCAATATAGCATAATACAATATTATGTATTTCATTATAGAGTCTTTACTATACCACAGAAGGATTAAGGGTTAAAAATGTTATTTAAAAACAATGCACACTTAAGATGTAGCACAATTTTAGCAGCATTATGTAGCATGGAAACTATTTAATACAGGTTAACCTCCCTGTACTTTTCAACAAGGATTTTATAACATAGCTACCTTGAAATCTGAGTCATGTAACTCTGTTTATTCAGAGTTTCAGAAATTTAAAGTTGGGTTGTTTGTCTTTTAATTTATGTTTTTTAAATCAGAAAGTTGATATATATATGCTACCTTCTCATGCAAGTATTCTCTCTAGTTTATGAACTATCAATGTATGTCCTGACTCCAAGCTTACAAACTAGCAATATTTTAAAACAGTGTTAATAAATAAGTATCAAATAAGCCATGATTTTTCTAATAGGCAGCTCATCACTAACTTGAAAGTAGCAAGTATATTAGTGTGTCAGCTCAGCTTCCTTGCATTAAATCAAGACTCTCTGGGCATTTGTATACATGCTTGCACTGCAGCACTGGGAGTTCTAAAGGCGCGTGGTGCTTCAGTGCATGCATTTGTATAAAGGGTGAAATGTTCATCAGTGCTGAGAAAATGGTAGCAGCACGGTTTTGAACTAAAACACAGCAGAGGTGTTTCAGTTAAAAAATGCACCACCATCATTTTCTCAGCACTGACTCACATTTCGCTGTTTATACAAATGCATGTGATGCAGCGCCGGGTGCATCAGGTCGCATGCGGAGCAGACTTGATTAATCGAGTCTGTTCTGACATGCTGGATCTCCATGCCCCCCTTCCTCCCTTGCTACGCTGCATACCCAGAGACCCCTGCTGCTGCACAGCACACCCCTACTATTGCTCCCTGTGCCTCCCTGCTGCAAACCATGCTCCCATGCCCCAACTTGTCCTTAGCTTCCCAGCTGTGAGCTTCCCTACTCCACCAAGGCACTCAGGCATGCTGGGCTACAGGCTCCCCCAGCACTGACAGCTCTGCTGTGCTACCTTTCCCCCTTGGGCAGGGGCAGGAGCAATAAGGAGATGCTGGAGAGAGTGGGATCCTGGACACCTCAGCTACTGTTGTAGCCAGAGCAATGAGGGGGGAGCAGCAGCCAGGTAATGTCCGGGGGGGGGGGCACTGCAATTTAATCCCTTGTGGGCCAGCAGTTAGACATCTCTGTATGAAACCATTTCTAATGCTATTTAAGAATATTATTGTAACTAAATGGTGTAAATGATCTGTTTTTTGTACTTAAGCACAACAGTGGTGCCAAGCAGGGATCCTGCTTAGAACCATAGGTAACTGAGAGGATAAAAGGTGGCTACGTACCCACTTCACAGTTATGGGATTTTGCTAGATGTGCTGTTCTGTGAACTGTGCCCACTAGAGGGCAACAATAAGCTTAAATATCTGAGTGCTGGTAAAGGAGAATGTTTTTACATTTTTAATATGGAAGCACTTCCTGATTTTGATGAGTTGGCAACGATATTGAATTGCAAGATTAGCAGAAAAGAAGCACCTCTTGTGTAAAGGTCTATTATAAATAAAACATTTTCTAAATACTAGAATTTTAGAGACCAATGCAACTTTAAGAAGTCTTGTATTGCCTGTTAACAAGAAAAAATTGCCTAAACTATGAGATCCTGCAGACCACAACAGATTTTGTAGAATTCCACGTCAGAAGTGTTTGAAAAACATCACCACCAATATATTTCAATGTAGGAAGGAATGCTGCTGGAGAGGACTATATGTACTTGATATTTCACAACTGATAACAATTCAAATATTTTAAAAATAATTTCACAGTAAAACCCTACACACAGAGATCATTACAAATTCTGATCAACTGCAGAATGCCAAGTAATCCAAGCTAAAGTCAGAATTGTCGCATCATTTTAGTCTTGTTCAGCGTTCTTTGCACACTGCCCAGCTTAGATTGGCTTGAAATTGCTTTGTTTGAACTAGGAGAGTTGGGACGGGAAATGTGGTTTAAGTGAATTCACTGCCAAGTTTGATGCCTTAGGCTGCAAACAGACATCTCATTTATCCCAGGATAAATCCTAAAACAGTTTACTAGCTAAGAAGTACTAACAGTTTATCCAAGGATATTGCAGACTACATCCTGGGATTACATCAAATGGTAGAAAAGCAGTGCTGCATTCAGCCACTCACTAAACTGTGATCAGAAGGACATGCCAATCCTGGGATATGAGTCAAACAAGTTGAGCACTTCATATTGGAGAGTACCTGAGATATCTTGAGTCTGAGCGTGACTCATGATTATGTCAGCAAGACATTTTGCATTTCCTGACAAGCATGCATTTTTCAGAGTAAAATTCAACATCTGCTATAGCACACAAGCTGCTACCTCTTCAATGTCAGTGGTTAAAACTGCTCTAGCTTTTTTCTTTTACATTTCTCTGTGAGAAAACATTTTAATTGAGACAAAGTAATCACATGTATTTGTATTCCCCCTTCTTACTGAAAATGTACACTAATGAAACCTTAAACTCTGTATAATAACACTGCCAAGCATGACATGTTTTATAGTGCTGTTAGATCACCACTAAACCAGACTTTTTGTATTGAAATCCTGGCTTTCTACCTTTGTTTCCTCAATGTGTTTGGTTTCTTCTCCGCTCAAACTTACAACTTGTTAAGAAGACTTTAAAAAAAAATGAAATAGGGAAAAAAAGAATTTATATAAAAGAAAAACAAGATATCTTTTAATAGCTTTTTAAACAGGCTGCATTAGGACCAAAGATAGAATGTCTTATTTTATTGCTTTAAATTAACTGACTGTAAATTCCACATCTTGTCTAGGAGAGTGGGGAAGAACAGGTCCCTGGCGCTAGCCCTGCCACAGAATATGCAGGAAGTTCTGCTACAAGGTGTGGGTCTCAGCATGAAAACAGACTTGCCATACAAATGCAGTCTGGAGAATTGGGACCATATAGGACTTGTGCCAAATCTGGAGCCTTGACTCAATTTTGCCTCAAAAAAATCTACTCTGAAGAAAAAAACCCTTTCATTGAATTTAATGGGATGTTTGTCCAATTAAGGACTTGAGTGAAAAATGAATAAAGTTGGCTTTGGCTCATTGTCAGGCAAAATATAGATTTGCAGAGGATGAGTGATTTAGATCACTGCTTTTTAGGTATGTGGGCAGACAATAAGACTAGAGACTTGCAAGCATGTTTTTGGCTAAATATTAATGATGGGGGAGCTCAAAACATGAACGTTTCATGAGAAACTTCTGTTTCCCTGCCATTGCTTCTGCCTGCTTTGGATGCTGTACACAATTTGAGGGCTCCTACTTCTCATTAACCCTATGGACTCAGAATTATAGTTGTAATTTTCTATTAATATTAATGGCAGTCAGTGCGCATATATCCTTTATCCACCTAAATGGAAATCGGTACTTACATGGTTCAGAAGGATGGAATATTCTTAGGCTCTGACATAGTCGAGGCACAGCAATCACTCAGCAATATCTTAATTAAGGAAAAAGGTTTTCTAAGACATAAAAAGAGAATCTGGAACATAGCTGCCAAAAACCACATAATATATTGAGCCAAATCTTGGTCCCACTAAAGCCAATGGAGAAATGCCTTAAGCCAGACTGCGGTCATTTTATGTTTTGCTGTTTTCTACATCTTGCCCTTACCCTTTTCTAACTTCATTGTGGTAAAAGAAGGGCAAGGGGGTGAGGATATGGGTGTGACACGGAGGAAAATATGCCACCTCATTGTAACACCTCTCTACTAGTTTCATGAGGTATTTATCTACATGTAACAATCAGTGTAACCATCTTAACCCTCCCAGTTGTGCTGGAGTTTGCCCAAAACATCCTTTTAATATTTTATAATCCATCTGATGGGTGGAGATTTTCCAAAGCCATCAGTGTTGCTCTGACAGTTTGTAAAAGGGGTTGTGTGAAACCGAGAGGCCTGTGATAGCTGGGGCTTATGTACCTAACTCTGTACCCACTGAAATCAATAGGAGTTTTAGCACTGTGTTTGTACTGCATCAAAGCACAATGAAACTAATGTTAAAGGGTTTTGAAAATCCTTCCTTCCCACTACACACAGAGATCCTATGGATCCAATGCCCATTTTAAGCTGGTCTTTAATAATGCAATCAACTGAGCATAAGGAATAATGTCTTGGTTTTAACATACTCTTAAGCAATATCTCTATGGGTATAGATGGTACCTTTCAATAATTGTAAAAGTTTTCCAACTATGGAAGCACTATTTGTACAAATAAACACTGTCTTTTTATATGGTTTCATGATTTATACTATTGATTAAAGATTGTTTGTATATTGAGCGATTAAAAAAAAAGGTGTATATTATTCTTTTAAATTGTTTTTAATTTTTGAAGCGCATTTATTGTAATATACTGTTGCATTGGGGGAGGATCATGTTGGCTGCTTTGTAGGGTAATTATCTGTGGATGAGTTAATGGTAAAGGTTCTTTACTGATAGACTTTGAAATGTAAAATGGTGTCACCATGGGGATTTATCCAGAGCCTAGTGAAGCTAATAACGTAAGGTACCTACTCTCCCTCTAGTACTTTTTAGCTCCCCTTCTGCCCATTTTTTACTATTGGAGTTTCATAGTGTGAGATATGATACCAGCTACTGTAGATGCAATAAGAAACCCCAGCTGATGCTTATCAAGGTGTTGGTGAAATGTACCCTCCTGAAATGGAGAGCCATATCTCATTTTAATTTTTCCACAAGTATAGATACCAAATCAAAGCAACCCCTTGCTTTTAAGTTCTTAGGGTATTTTGCTGTTGGCCATTTATAAGTTAGGTACAATTGTGAGTTGTACAACAGAAGTGCAAGGTGAGGGGGTATAAATACATTTAAGAAAACCACAATCACTAAAAGATTTCTGTACATAGGGAATTACATAAGAAAATAGAGAAAAAGAAAGTAAAGGGAATAAAATGTAGAACCTACCACACTAAGCAAGAGTAAAATGGGTCATGTGTAAAAAAGCAATGAAATCTGTATGGTAATACAGTAAGGAGAAGATGTGCCTGTCAGTGAAATAATGGGAACACTAGGACTGCAAAAACAATGGGAAATGCAGTCAACTAATCCTGTACAAGGAAGCCCAGGGGTCTTCTATATACATGACATTAGACAATCCAAGATGTGTAACTCTCCCTTGAGTGTAAAAAGTTGCACAGAAGGATCAAAGGAAGCACATAGTCTTAAATGTAATGGAGATTTCCATCAGGTTTAGAGAAGGGAGCAAAAAGCTATTTTGTAATCCTCTAAAAGGAAAATACCTTTTTGTTGCAGAGATGGTAAAGAACAGCTAATTTGGAACTGGGATCGTGAAGCACAAGATCAGCCTGGATAAGTCCCCTTTCAAATGACTTGTAATTTAAAAAAAAAATTTTGTTTTGGTTTATACATACATTTTGTACATAGGAAAAAGCCACTACAACACCTCAACATTATTTTCCTTTCATCTGATTCCTTCCAATACATAGACTGCATGCGGAACCATCTTGACATATTTTATGCAGAAACTGCCTAGTCTTAAAACACCTATTACAGAAATGTCTAATGCACATTAATGCATGATATTTTTATTTTAATAAAATTAATTGAATATACCTTTGTTGTGTGAGATTTTTCCCTTCTAGGCTACATCCAGACAAGCATGTATATGTGGTATGTGGCTGTGGTGCCACATACCATGCATACAGGCGTTCCCCACATTGCTACTTTGCAATGCAGGGGGAGAGGGGTTGACCCTGGGAGGTCCAAAAAAAAGAAAAGAAAAGGGTGGCACATGTGTGACAGCGTGCACCACCCAAAACCGGAGACACACTCCAGCTGCCGGCCAGGCTTCCTGCTGCAGGAGTGTCATAGCTGCAGCTCCCGGAGGTCCCCAGGACACCAGATAAGGCTGCTGGGGCCAGCACAGTTGCCTGGAATAACCTGCACACAAGGTGTGCCACTGCTACTTGTCACTGGGGAAACACTTTCCCACTCATCTGGATGCACCCATAGAGTTGAGAAGTTTTGGCTTGAAGGAGGAATTTCAATATATTCCAGTTTTCTCCCTATGTTAGAACAATACAGCTGGACTTTATAGCACTTCATGAGAACAGAACGGAACAATTTGTAAACATTAATTTATTTTCATTGCTATCCACTGAGGCAGAAAATAGTATTTTCACCATTTTAAAGGTGTGTAAGGCGAAGCACATGGGTTGCATGATTTGATCATGGTCCGACAGAAAACTGGTGACAGTACAGAGTATACAGTCCACAGCCAAGATAGGCAAAAGGAAGAGCCTGCATTTAGCATGCATGGAGAAATAGCTTGATCTTCAAGCATGTGTCCATTCGGCATGCTCCATTGACTTCTGTGACAGCATCAACTAAAGGAAATCTAAAGAATGACAAAAAGTAATGGGATAATGGGAAGGACACGTTACAGTGTTCAAAGTAGACTTGATAAAACACTTAGCATACAGGATAAACCAGCACTAATTTACTTGTATTCAATCTCGGATGCCTTTTCCAACTGATGTTGGACTGCAGCTACAATGGTTGAATCTTCTCGTGTCTTTGCTAACTAGAATTGGGGGTGTCCAAATTTTGGTTTCAACTCATCTCAACTTTTCTCCAGCTGTGTAATGGCATTAGTCAGTTCCTTAGTGTAAGAGAGTTCAATGGTACCCATTCTCTCAAACAAATTCAATTTTTCCCTCAAAATACATGAGCGCATACAGTTTAGGTTAGCAAAGTTGGACATTAACTCATATTTCTTCTTAGTTACCTACCACGTGTCTTGCCTTCATCAGATGTGGGCCAGCTTTCCACACAGGTGAGGTAAGCAGCCATCTCTTTCAATGGGCTCTCAAAGGCAGCAAATTCCCAAAAATGAAACATATTCTTCATCAGCAATAACTGCTTTTGTTAAAGTTGGTATATTGGCTATGTTGGGAAAATTGCTCTTGGACAAAGGCACACCACAGGCAGTACTTTCTATTTAATTGTAGCAGTTTGTACTTCATTATTTAGCAGTACCTAGGGTAGCTCAAATTTGTATGTATGCACCATCAGCTGATGGTCTTCGGTGATAAAATAAACCAGGGATTTTCAACCTTTTTGGATCAGTGTACCCACAGTGGCCAGATGTGAAGCATGGGGTGGGGGGAAGAGGGGGGTACGGCTGGATGCATACCCCCGGTTGACAACCTCTGGAATAAACCATTATGGCTAAAATAGAAGGTCATAACCAGAGAGCCCAGTTTTCCCTGATAAATCGCAAGTTCTCTGATAAAAACACGCAAATGATCCAATTAAAACCCAAAAATCTGTGATTAAAATGAAAGGCCACCATATATATATAAAGATGAACACAATGTTTTATGGATATATTTACAATTTTAAAGTAATGTGGACGTCTACCAGTGCCTCAATCTCTATAATAAAATAAATTCTAAATCACTATAAATTTTGGTATTGGATTTTGTGTTTTTTATCATGGAAAATCACAGCTCCCTCTTCCCCCTTAGCTCACAGAAGACAGGTCCAGGCCCCTCACTCCCAAACCACAGCCACCCTGCCTTATTGGTGCCTTTCACTCCCTTCCACCCTGCTCGCAGCCCTCCCAGCCCTGCCAGTGCTCTTCCTCCCCAACCCCCCACCCCCAGACTTACCTGCAGGAGCTGCTCTCCAGGCTGCTTGGGGCCATGTGCATGTACATGTACATGGCACCCCCTACCTGACTGCCCTCCTCCTGCTCCCCCCCAGCCCCTTGCAGGCTGGAACTCTGCCAACCTGTGGAGAGCTCTCTGCAAAACTCTAACACCCGTAGGTTTCTCCGTTAAAATGAAAAATCTGCATTTTCCTTGAGCAAAGGGGGAAATCTGCATTTTCTTTGTTTTTCCATGGGAAACTGAAAACCTGGGTCCCTGGTCATAACCGTAATCATTCTATGAAAATGGAAATTGTCTATCTGCAGCTAAATATCACAAACTGAATACTGAACAAGAGAAACTGAAACAAAACAAATTACTTTTAAGCAGCTTTAGATTAAGCATTTTACTTCCAACTGATCAGGGCCGTCCTTAGGGGGTGTGATTTGGGGCAACCGACCCAGGCCTCATGCTTTGGGGGGCCCCCACGTCCAGCTGCTCGGCACCCCCCCCCCAAATCTGCTGTCAGCTTCTTTGTCTCCAGGGCGCATACAGGCTGATTTGCCCTGGGCCCCGTACCCTGCTAAGGTCTTCTCTGCAACTGATGCAACACATTTGTCTAGTTGTGCCTATTTTTCCAACTCAAACATCAGTGTTCCTGCTTCTGGAAATGAGCTTCTTAGCACGGGCTTTGGTTTTTTTTCTATGCAGCTTTTCAATGCATTTAAAAGGAGAAAACAAAATCTTGTGAGTGTGGCAGCACCATCTGTGCATGTGAATGTCTTCAAGCAATAGCTGCTTCATGCAATTGCAGTTATTCAACTAGTAGGGTGTAATCTACAGCGGAGGATGTTTCAAGCCTTGATGCCCTGGGATTCTGTCAATTGGCTATTAATCACTAATAGAGTTCACCTTTTCTTTGTGTCTGCTGAATCAGTTCAAACAAGTTTGGGATAGTAACAGAAGAAAAATGTTCTGCTTTCCATTGTTCAGGCCAGCTTTCAAAGGGAGAACACAGAAAGCAAGACTGATTTCTCTATTCCACTTCAGTTGCTTCCGCTTATTTTTTCTGCTGCAAGTTGTTTAACACCAGAGATTTTGCTTTTGGCCAGGCATGGTTTTTTTGAGCCTGGAAAAATATACCAAGTATCCTACCAAAACATGACAGTTTTGCAGGTTATATGTACAGCTATCATATGCAAAGAGACTTGGAACGGAGCAAGCATATGAAGATAAAGAAAGCCAGACTCAAGTAAATTTTCTGGCAAGCTGTTTTGGAAAGGGTTTTTTATTTGATCCTCCTGAATGGAATAGAAAATATTCTCCTAAAACAGCAGACCAGTTCTATTCATCTTTCAATAGAAAATGTTTTAAATTTGCTGAGTTCCTTGGAAAATCTGACCTAGCCATGAAATAATGCTTCTGTGAACAAGTTGTTCTGTCTATAAAAGGTGCCACACTGCCCTGCCCTATACATCATGAAGTCAACTCTGTAAGCAAAATGCCTCAAGAAGCTGGAGTGGAGAACAAACTAGTTATCCATCAGCTAAAAGCCTCCAAGAATTTCTTCCTTGTAAACCACAACTCTGATAAGGGATTCCTAAGTATCCTAAGACCTGGTTGGAAAGCTGGGGAAAAAATAATATCCTACAAGGAAGAAACCCACCAAACAACCAGCACAAGACAAAAAGAACACGTTCAAGGGCACAGATAAACAACTAATCCAATCTGTCAAATTTTCTATTAGGTTTTATATATTGTCATAGAGTCATTTTAGAGACAGAGATTTTTTTTTTTTTTTTTTTTACCACTTGAGTACTATAAGCTGTTCAGGTTTTTGTCTTAAACACTGAGTTGCCTTGCAAAGAATTGTAAGAGTCAGATATGGTTTAAGCAAAACATTAGCATGCAAAGAGCCTTGTGAAGCAACATCCTCTGGCATGGATACTCTGGATCTGTCCCATGAATTTCAAGCATATGACAGGAGGGTACAATCTGGAACGCACCCAAAAGCTGTAGCATCTGCAAAAAAATAAGCTTCTTACCTTATTTTCAAACATATCCATCACAGTGGGTGCTATTAACCTTGCCTATGTCTACTGCAATCACCAAATGCAGTTTGGCTTATGAAGACATATTTGTGTTCTTTGGTGGCTCAGTCTTGATGGCCAGATCTTGCTTTAATTTAATCTGAAAGCCAAATTGCAGAGAGTATTAATCTAAAAAATGCCATCTACAAGCTGGCATGTATTAAAGCAATATAAGTGAAACTCCCCAGAAGATGCTAGCTCCTGGCCCTGCATCTTTTTGGAAAAAAAAGGCTTCGAAGGACCGGTTGTATGGTTCAATTTCAAGTTTTTCGCTTTGCTTCTTATTGGGATTGTCATCAATAAACAAGAGCAATGTATCTAATTCTCTTAAGATTTCATTGGGGAGTCAGGAAGCTAATGTCAAGAGAGAGTAAAAGTTCTCCTGCCTACCTTGAAGTAAGGTCCACACCTGTTGCCCTGCACATCCCTACAGACAAGGCAGGCAACTGTGACCTTTTCCTGGAAAGAATTTACCCAGCCCTATTACAAGAGCCTCCTTACACCAATACATGAAATACACCATTGTATGAATGAGTCAGTGTATGTATAAGTTGTTCCAAATTCGTGAGATAGGGCTTGTAGTAAGCTGAGGATTTGGTCCTGTGTTTGTACAGGAATAAGTAACTATACGTGGCAGCCTGCTTACTGTATTTACTGGAATCCAAGACAAGGTTTTCTTTTTCGTCCATTCAGCAAGGTAGAGGGGCAGGGGGAAGGAGGGGAGCAGTGGCTGCTCCCTCTGCTCTCTGTAGCCTCTGCCAACTCCCCCACTGCCCCCCACCCTACTATCAGGTGCAGCTCCAGCTCTGTTCCCTCCTGAGGCATGAAACTCCATCCCCTGTCCAGCCAACCAGCAGCAG